ACTATCCTTCTGTTAGGTCCATCCCACTGAAGTACAATGAATCAAATTTGGCTTAAATTACAGCAGCTAACATGCAGATATGTATTGGGGTTTATGAGAATAACTCTAAAGAGTTATAATAAACTGTTTTCTACAGTGTATGTAAACATATGGTTTCAAACTGATGTTGTAAAACTCTATTTATTGCCAGCCAAGTCACAAACAGACCTGAAATAATTTATTAATTGCTTCAAATTACCTGATCATTAATGTAAATTCTTAACCTTGATGCTTTGTTTAATCCACTCAGCCATGTTTTATTCCAGTGGTCCCTTTGTTTCACACAGATAATTATTACTGTTGCAGAACATGCTAGAGAAAAACTGAAAATAACAAAAAGCAAAATCAAGGGATAAAATAAGCTATAAAATCTGTAAACTTTGGAACCAAATTAATGGAAAGTGAAATTAGTTGCAAGAATTTCTTTTGTCAAAGCAAATTAGCTTATRGTTAAAAGCTTTAGCACTTTATATAAATTAGTTTTATTGGTAGCTGAGATGGAAACGAATATGTTAAACATAGGAAAACATAAAAGCAAGTCAGGAATTTAAACTCTACACGATAGAAGTAAAAAGTGTTATTTTTATACCTTTTTTGGGGGATTACACAATCTGGTGTGTTTTTTTGTTTGTCACTTTAAGGTTTTTTATTTATTTAATATTAACATCTGATGCAAAGTCCTTTGTGTTACACCCCACTGTATAAAGCTGCTTCATGAATTAGTTAGTGTAATATGGATGTCACAGCAAAAAATAACCCCTCCCTGTAGACTTRCTTTAGTAAATTTAAGTTCATGTAAACAAATGGGACATTTTCCTGATTTTAAAGTAAAAATACACCCCTGCTATTTTTTCCAACATTTAATCATTTAAAAAATCATACTTTGCAGTTGCACATTCAAATATTCACATTTCTTAATAGGTCTGGCGTAAACACAGTAAATGATACTTAAAAAACACTACTGCTGTGAGCGGCAAGGTGGGCCGGGCTTACAGCCACACAGCCCCTGTTTGCAGACTCCAAAAATACAACACAACAATGGCTGTTAACAGGATATTGCCGCATTCAGGTTCAAACAGTGAAAGGAAGCACACACACGTTTTATCATTTTTATGTTGACYGTGTGTTTGTTCATCTGTCTGTTAGCAAAAACACTCATAAACCAAAAGACAGATTTTAATGAAAATCTCAAGACAAATAATCCTTGGATGCATATCTACATCTGATTAATTGTTGGCATAAAGCTGAATCAAGATGGCCACCACAGCTGATTCATCTTATCAAACACAAAAACTAGTTATAGCTTAGACAGATTTACAGGTATTAAGCTAAAATCTGATCTGAAACTAATCCCCAAAACATACTTTGAGCACTAATCAATCTGTGTCGACAACTTTCAGATGCAAGATGTTGAGCTGTATTCTTTTAAGGCATGCTGCATTCATGAAAATTGCAACGAGTTTATTTTTAAAGAAAAACACACTTTATTTGCATATTMGTTATTATTGTGTCTTATTAAACAAAGGTCTTTCCTATTTAATCACCTAAATAATGAACAGAATAATCAATCAAACACTGGATAAGTAACAAAAGCTTTTAGAGCCGGACAATTCATACTTTGCTTAAAAAACAAACTATGATTCAAAATTAAAATTCAACAGCAACAAATACACTTATTTTTGATGCTACAGATTTTAAGCATTATTTTAGGTRAAATTTAATTTTGACACAATTTTGTAAAATCTCGGCAGCTAAGATTAAACCACAAGTCTGGAAAAGTGATTAACCGGTGATGATTTAACAGCTTGGAATCACCAATAAGCTATCCAAGATCCCACTGAATTCATTCATGCGACTGAGGAGAGCATTAATTGTTGAGTGATTGATCAGGGGACTGGATTTCCTCCCATCAACTCTCCTGCCGCTGATGAGTCTCCAAGGGCATCCTGTGATTCATCAATCGACTGATGATTAARGCCTGTATCCTTGGGGATGCACCGGGTCCCAATCAAGAGCTGCTGTCACTCTTTGTCAATACAATGTCTCATCAAACAGCAGATTATAAGAAATCAAAGATTTCTTTGTGTGCATATTTGTCCGCCATTCCTCAGATTTATGCTTCCTACAAAAACCTGAAAGATTTGGCAACTTTGTAAATCATTTCAGCCTTTTAAAGCCTGCAGCTTGACTCAAACGGCCCAAAATACTGTTTGACATTTTACTTTTAAAAGATAAAAGTAAAAGGAAATGCTACTCGGTAAGCCACTTCATTTATCAAAAGTATTCTGACATTTTCTAAAATAATGCATCTTGCAGTCAAACTCCTGACTCAACTTCAGACAGCTGGATGCAATGCCTGCAGTGGTGATAATGAAACASGCTGGAGAAGAAGTTCCTACACACGACACCCGCTAATGTTCTCAAAAGGGGACCAGATTGTCTGATTGATGCCTTTTACTTATGTGTTGTCTAATTGTTTTGCCGTGCATTACTCCCAGCTGTGCAGTTTGTGTGGGAGGGGATGGGAGGGTGACTGCAGAGCGCATTCTAAGCTTCGCAGCAAAAGTTCAGCTCTGCGGCACAAAGACAAACAGAGGAATAAGAAGATGACTTTTAGGCTTTATTCAAATCAGTTCACCTTTCCTGCACTGAAAACAGGTTTGCAATCTGCGGCTTTTGAARGAAGAAAAACCTTTTTTGGGTACAGAATTATAACTTTTAATACATTTTCCAATAAACTACTTTTAGTTATTTGATTTAATAAGTATTTAGTGCAAAACAGGTCTGACATTTATTCCACATTTAGCTTTGCTTTATTCTGGGCACCAATGCCAGTTTGCCGTTAGATTTAACTGATTTATTGTAATTTTTGGACACAAAAAAGATTTACAGACAAATATTCCATTYTTTTTTGAACCATGCTAAGCTGTTATTGCAAGAATTTAGTCTGCAGTCCCCCGGTCACTTCTGTCTGTGTAAACATTTTGAGTTTTATTGTTTTCTTTAAAATTCTCTAATAATGTTTAGTTTCTAGCAGCAGTCCTCTGCCTGTTTTGTTTTAAATTCCAGTTTGTGTCATAAATTTTAGCTGTTTGAACCATATATATCTACTTATGTGCATTTGTGTTCTCTAAACACTAATTGTGACAGTTTGACTTGCGTAGTGTTGCTTTCTGTGGTTATATGGAGGTCGTGCACAGTGTGGAAATAAAAATGGAGCACTATGTGGCTAGAAACAGCTCGGTGTAGTAATTGTAGGCAAAAATGACAGAGCCAGTGTTATATCAACTTTAATACTCTGTTCGGTGATTTCCAAAAGAAGCATTATTGTTAGACCTATTTATTTTTTTWAAGAAATGTTTGGATAAATATTATAACAGCCTTTATTTATGATTACATGACAGCTTTAACCATAAAGAAAATCAGARCACTGCTCCTACAGTAATCCTGGGGGGCTTTTTGCAGCAGCTTTTTCAGCAACTAAATCAGGCATTGGCCCTGATGGAGTTTGGCYCTGAGGATTTGTCAATTGCTCCACGTGAATTTTAGTCCCTGAAATTAGTCCACTGTTTACCTTTTCATTCCAGTCGTCTCTAAGAGTAACAGCAGAACTTGATGCACCGAGGCGAGGCTGTTCTCATTAGTCTCTGTATCCACAAGGAGCTGGCCCAGATAAACCTGCTCAGTAAGTCTTTCCCCGAAGAGTTGCAGTTACTGTGCTAGATATGCAAAACCAAGCTGGCAAAGAACAGAACAAGTTCAGTGGTGAAAATATTTAGMCTGTTTAGTTGTTCAGACAGCTACAGATCAATTACACCCCCCCACACACACATACACACTCCAAACTGTGCGTGTGTATGACACTGTTCAAATGTGAGTGAGRTGATGTCTGTAAAGGAGTTTAGCTGAAAGGAACGGCAGTATAAAAGCATTAAACACTTATGTGTGACAGATAAAGGAATGACATTTAATTTCCCATTTGTGCACATTCACACACAAATTCKTGTTTGCATCATGTTAGAAGATGTAAATAGAAGAATTAACTGTTTAGAACCATTTTTAGCAGTTCTCTGCATTTGAAGATAAAAACACATAGACATCTCAGACTTGCACYTCCGCTAATAAGGTAATTATTACTAATACCAATAAAGTTTAAAAGACTAAACCAATCATTAATATGTGAATTTCATGAAAATATTATGAGTGAATGTCTAAGATGTACAATAAAATTTGGGGCCCAGGTGGTTATGGCAAATAGAAATGTAATATTGTTGCTCTTATAACACAACTATGCCCCAAAAAAAACCCTACATGGGTGAAGTTGAAAGTGAAGAGGATGGAGGTGTGCGGCGAGGGATGGGGAGAATAAACTGAGTGAGCAAAATGCTCCCACAGGGAGTCTGCTCCCCCGCTGGCCCCCTCCCTTTCCCCGAAACCCATCCAGGAAGAGCAGCCCAAATACCTCTCCCTCCAGGCAAACCGCCAAGCCCACGGAACCCCAGACCATGGACTGACAGAGCCCCGAAGGCTACCAGAAACCAGGACCAACACCCCCCCACCCCAGAGCCACCCAGACCCCCAAAACTCGACCCCAGCCCCATAGCCGGCCCGCCACCCAGAGAGGCTACCGTTTCCCAGCAAGGACGGCCCGGCCAAGAGCGCCCACCCAACTCCTGACAGAGCAAGTGGGGGGGGGGGCACCCAGGGCGGGCCCCCGCCACAGCAAAGGGGCTAACCAGCCAGCTAGCACGGCCCCCAGCCACCACCAAAGGCCACCAACCCAATCCCCACCCCAGAAGACATACTACACCCACCCCAACATTCGGGCCACTATCAAAACATATAACACGCTCCCACTAGCTCCATGTCACGCCCCCAGCCAACCCTACCCCCAGCCCATGAGAACCGCAGACCACCAGCGCACCAGAGGTTTAGGGATGCACACTAACAGCTCAACTCACCTTGGTCAAGAGACTTGGCAGGAACCCAGCTTTTGAAGTAGTCATCCTGTGTGGATACACAAGAAACTGGGTTAAAAACAAAGCCAGGCAACACGCATTGTTTGAAGAAGTGCAACTTTTACTGGTAAATAAAATTATTAGGTTTCAGTAGAAATGAAAAATGCAATGTCAGGTTCAAACTGCTTTGAACATATGAAAAAGGGCCAAATATAGAAAAAAAATCTTCATGTGATGCAGTTGAGAATAAAACAAGCTATGAGGTCTGAAAAGGAGATTAACCGGAACAGAAAGCACCAAAAACAGCTTAGTTATTCACAGAAAATGGGATTTGCTGCAATTCAAAATCTCTTGAGTTAGCGTTTTTTATTCTCAAATTTAAAATAGCTATTTGTTTTTTATGAAACTGTCACTAATTGAGTTTACTTAACTGAAAATGCTGAGAAGAACATTTGTTTACTTCATTAAGCTTATATAATTTGAATTTTCTGAGTAAAAAAGCACAGTAGTACATCCACTGAGACTGAGAATATTTCCTGCTCTGTTAGAAACAACTTGTAGATTTATGATTATCCATAATAAAAAAAGAGACGTAGCATAAATGTTGCTGTTTTGTCTTGCATGCATGCTTTAACTATAAATGCCAGGAAAAGAATTCAATATAACAGGAGCAAACTACATGAATGGAGTCAAAGTGTTATAAATGATGTTGTTTGAAGGTTTAGTCATTTGTAAAGTCTCAATGGACAAAGCAAATGTGCTCTTAAACAATCCTGTGACATTTAAAGCACAAAAATATCCCCCACACAAGTCTTCAAGCTTGGCCATAATTCCCCGTGTGACCGACACTGTTGTTTTGCCAGGGTGCAACTGATAGGATCCCCTTTAATGCTGTTTTTTTTTTTTTCAATTTTTGGGATTAATGTTGTGAAAAATTGCATTTTAACTCAAACCTGATGCTTTTCTTGCCCTATGTTTAAAAGCTAAGTAGGTTATACCTTATAAAATACCACCATACTACAATTCATCACTTATGAGTCAGTAAATAAGGTCAGATTTTATGATAAAGCAGGTCAAGGTATGGTAACACACACAAACATACACACACAAAGATGTGTAGAGGTGGTATCTGAAGTTCAAGTAGAGCGAACCATATGTTTATCAGCAGGGAGTGAGCCTGTGTCGTTGACACTGTGTGAAGAAGGCAGAGAAGCCTGCTGGTTCTGAAAGTGGGATCTCTATCTCTTTCATTATTGAATAACAGAGATAAAGGTGGAACTGGGGCAGGGGGTTGGAGCAGTAAGTTGGACAGTCGGAGAGTAAATGTCAAAAAAGAGGAAAAAAGTCCTAAGAAAATAGATYAATGATCCATGAATCCAGCACTACTACTGTCAATAACAAGTGCCAGCACTGAATCTAACAGAAAGAATTTTAACTGGAGATAATAAAGCATAATTAGCTCATCAATAGTCTAATCAACATTCCATTTTTTTCTCCTCATGTTAAATCCCTTTTTCCTCATTTGCCTTTAAAAGAAAATGTATATTGCATGGTTGTGATTCTCTGCAGAGCTCTTCAGTCCTAGCATGTTCCTCACATTTTACGGGTGTTTTAAAGCAGTTTTAAAATGCTACCAACAACAATGAAGATCAGTTCCACCATGTTCCTCAAGTACACAAGCATGATTTCAGCCCAAAACATTTAGGCTAAACAGAGATGAGCTATACCATGCATGCTAAGAGGATTAGGCATTTTTGCTGAACTCATTTCATGTGGACTCTCAGAATGACAGACTTTGCTTGAAAACAGGACACTCCTCAATTTACCTAAACCCCAGTTTACCTCAAGCTGCCTAAAACTTTTACAGATGCTAATTTTCCTAACTTATAAAAATCTTACCCCCCACCCTTTTTAACAACTATACCCTACATTTCAAAGTACTTTACAGTATGTAATGGCATGCTTTATTGTCACAAATATTTGATGTGTTTTATATCTGGTATCATTATCAATTTTCCTTATCAAGTATAAAAAAGTAATAAAAGTCAGAGTTTGTTTTAAGATACAGTATATAACTAGTAGGGGTGCTCCAATTTCCTTGATTTTAGGAGATCGGAGATCCGCCGATTAGATAACATCATTGGCTTCTCGTCTACCTCTACAAAGGTCTGAAAATTRGTCACTGTTCCCCTTTGGTCTGCTGTGAGCACTAACAGGTTTGTATTGTTTCAGGGGTACTGTTGYATGTTTTTCAATAAAATAGGATTGGAGCATTGTGTACATCTGACATATAAAACCTGACAGTGTCAGCTATTTCATAAAAAAATTGGTAGGCCAAAATAGTAATCGGCAGGTCAGACTTTTTAAAGACCAGTAATTGGTGATATGCCAGAAAAAAATCAATCYGTGCACTCCTAATAACTAATAATACACCATAAATGGGCATATTTATGCTGCATTTGCATGGGGACTAAACATGTAGGTACAGGGGTAAGAAAAGGGTTTTTGTTAGGAAAAGGAATTTGACTGTAGTGTTCAAAGCGCTTCATGTTCCTTCATGTTGARTTTTTTGTTGTCAAATAGAAAATACTGTAGATCGACAGGCCAGAGCCCTGAATGATTTTACTGACCTACATGTACAGCCCTGAAAGCCCATGTGGTCAACTGCCTAATGTCTTTATGGTTGAAATTAAACAATTCAATTGGGCTTTTGGCATCCATATACATTGAAAAATATATTGTTTTAGAATGACTTCCAATAGTTGTTTTGGTTTCCAAGTTATACAGTAGACTGGTTAATAATACTTAAATTTTTTAATAACATATAAAACCTTAAAAATCACTAGATCTAGTTCATGATAATCACCACTCTTGCCATGTCTGGCCAGACATCAAACCGGCCGTGCTTTTAAATCGTTCTAACTATTCCTGTAAGCAAATGTTATGAAAATATATCGCCATGTTCATYCACTTCAGTATGTGTCGAGAACAACGAACAGATACAGAAATAAGACTTGAATGTTAAATGTAAGAACTAAAGCCATACAAATACCCTGTGTCCAGGCTATAAAAGCATGTGGATCAGGGCAAGGCAGCAAATTTCAGCTGCTTATATCCACTTTCTTCCGGTTCTGGCCACTGCTTAGGGGCAAGCTGTCACGTCAATTGGAGGTTCTCCCTACCATGTGACCAGAACCTCTTAGACAATGGAAAACTGTGTTCTAATGTTAAAATATTTACGTGTTGTAAATGCTTTAGGCGTGTATTAACTAACCATATCACAAGAGTACACTCTTGTGGTACGACACTGCTTGAAATGTGACACGAGCTACTCAAAACAGACTGTACATCACTAAATCACATAAAAATAGATAATGTTACAAAATAAGTTACCAGAACATCCCCTAATTCTATAATAATAGGAATAAAACAGTATGTGTGATGCATTTAAAAATCAGTAGTAAACAGAATAAATTTCCTTTTGTTAAACAYACACTACCAGGTCTGGGGCTTCCACAGGTACTGTGAAATGCTTCAAAACGGCTCTAACAAGATAATGAAACAAAGACTACACTTACCTCAGCTTCCTTTAAGTAATTGCAGAGGGCAGAGCAGAAATAGAGGAGAAAAAGGAGAGAAAGAAAGTAATGTCAGTAATTATGGCACAGTATGCTATATATCAGATCTTTTACAACCTCGTGTTACTCATTCTGAATACTGAGTTTAACTTGAAAGATCCATTTAATGTGAATCTGATTCTGAGGGTGGGAAAATACCAAAGGACTCGTGTGTGCACATACACACACACACAAACACACACACACTTGCACTCCCAGATGTATGAGATGGCCTTATTTGATGTGGCATGTAATTTGAAATACAATCAGGGCAAATTGTACAGGCAGGGTGGCAGTGCAGCGTTAAGAAGGGAAAGTCAAGAAGAGGAGTGAAGAGAGGCTGAAATATTTGGCAAAAATAAAATCTGGACTTAAAATATGGCTTAATTCCATCCATCCATCCATCCATCCATCCATCCATCCATCCATCCATCCATCCATCCATCCATCCATCCATCCATCCATCCATCCATCCATCCATCRATCTTTTTGCATCATAAAAAGTAGGTATATTCCTTTTATTCCCAAGGTTTGATGTATCAGCATTAAAATAATAAACAAGTAAAATAAATATTTAAATACTCTGGTCCACATTAGGTCCCAAAGTCAAATAACATATTATATTTCTTGAATTGTGTTATTCATGTTACAGTTTTTCCATAAATCAGAGGCATTGTGTGGAAAATAAAAACATGCAAACATCATTTCATTTCTTTAAAAGCTAAGGTACAACTGAAGCARTTAAATTATACTAAGGGATGGACTTTGACTGGGCAGTGACTCAATCATAAATTTGTTGATATTTTGGTGGGTCYTTGTCCTGTTGCGTGATCCAATGTCGAGCTGAGCTGTTGGAGAAATGAGTCACATTTGACTTTMGAGGAGGAAGACATGCTGGTTGACTAAGTGCTTGCAAGGTGTTGGTGTCCAGTGGATACAAAACAGCTGTGCATCATGGCCTCATATCACTGCTTATAATTATTCAGTTTGAAGAACTTCATCATATAACTATTGTGTTTTTTTCTAGATGAAACTTTGCAAAACAAATGAAATATTTATATGGAGACAAGCCTATCTGGCAAACCAGTACAAACAAAATAGACATGCTTAGCATTTTTTTCTAATTGTGCAAACATAAACTTAAACATTGAACTTCAAAACTGAGGTCATGAGCCTACAATGTACTCTGACCATGATTTCTTCAGAAAGGGGTTTTATAATACTTCCTTTACTGTTAGACAGAAACAATTGCTTTTCTATGATCATCACTAATGAGTTTCCCCTTTGGCATTGTGTTAAAACACAAGTGAGTGTGCCAAAACTMGTTTTTATAAAGCTGCTCATAAGTTAGTTAATAAGCTGCTTTTGATTTGCAGCAGTCGTTAAACTCTCCATTTCTTACAGAAGCAGAAAGGATAAGTGCATATTTTGAAATATTACAATCTAACATGTCATATGCTGAGGTCATTCATGAACTTCATCCCAAGATGCAATTTCAGTATCCAGTAAAATTAATAATCCATAAAATGRACTGTTTAAACAGTGTCCCTGCTTCAGGAGACCATTTGCCTAAAGCAGGTTCCGCCTGCATCTGAGTAAACATCGTCAAAATGATCAGTTGTGCTGAGTGCAGACTTGATGGCAGTGATCTCCCCTTTGTTTTGGACAGATCAGACGTTGATCTAAAGGTCATTGAAAGTCCTCCAAGTCTACTGAGTCATATCTACAAATCCTCAAAGTGCTATTGGCCAAAGGAAAACGTTACATTCTGTTTATTTTCCATTTCACTGCTGTATGACAAACTGCTATTTGTTCTTAGGATAATGGTGTGAACGCTTATAAAGCATTCTCACTACCGAGATCATCCATTTTTTTGTCCGTGCGTTTTCTGGCACATATCTCATTCTGCAATTTTTGTAATATTTCAACAATGCATGTATCAAAGCTTTCAGCCCCTTTAAGACATTCTGGCTTTGACTTTTAGTATTTCAGCAATTTATACTTTTTTGAGTTATTTTGTCTTTTCTGACATTTTTGCTCTCATTGAAAATTAATGGAGCTGTCTTCAACATCCCTAAAATCCTTCAAAATAGTTAAAACTTTCCTGCACTTTTCACATTTTGTTCTGGATCTGCCTTTTTAACACTTCTTTGTGATAATTTTGGCTTACTTCATCTTCTATTTAAGTAATTAAATGTTTTACTACTTTTTCAGCTATCTTTCTGCTCTTTTCAGCTATTCTACTAATTATTTTTTGGTGCTTCTACAGGCTTCTTTCTGCTAGTTTAACCTTTTAAGTCTTTTTCAGCTGTCTTCTGCAATTTAAGCTACTGTTTAGCTAGTTTCAGTCAATTTTAAGTTCATCTCAACTAAATTAACCTTTTTTGTGATCATTTAAACTACTTGCTTATTAATTCATCAAACATGCTCTTTTTTCTGCATCTTTCTGCAATTCAACATCTCAGCTAATTTTAGACACTTTTCTGCTAAATTCATCTTTTTGGGCTAAATTTTTGTACATATTTTCTTTTTTTCTTGCAAAAATCTTTAAACAATAAGCCTTTATGTTGCATACATTTTTTAGCAGAAAATGCAAATTCTCTAGTTTGTATTTTTCACCAAGATACTAAGTAAAATTGAACATGTTTGACTTGAGATGCACAACTTRTCATTCATATTTATTTCAAATTCACTGTTTGATTGTGCAGCACCCAATGTAACTGCTGACCATGCTGACTGGCTTACAGCCCAGTGATTCACAGAAAAWAGCTCAGTTTGTATGGCATATTTGACTCAGATCCTGGGGAACGAATGCATTTGTCTTGTGTATTTCTCCACCATCTGTATTTTGTAGGTTATTTGAGTTTACTTTGACCCACAGTTACAACCATGTTGTGCATACAAACATGTTTAGTCAGCAGCAGGGTCTATTGGTGCACAGAGGAACTCGTACTGTATACAAGCCGGCTTTGCACAAAGTTCATGTTGTTGCTATTAACCCCATTACTATTCAGCTGCAGTCACAGRGATGACCTTTCCCTGCAGAAGTCCCCTATTAATATTTTAATGTGATGATCTCTAAAGCATTAACTGCTTCCTTTGCTCACCGTGACACTGTCCCAATGTCATTCAAATCTCTAAAACAGATTACGAGGAGATAAACTGTCGTTATTATCATATCATCTTCGACAGAAGCGGTGCTAAACTGATAAGCAGTGGGTGTAAAAGTGATCAAAGTCTGTTCAAAGTTGCAAACGCTCTGCAGGAGATCGTTGCTAAGTAAAATTCAATCAGTTTTTTTTCTTCCTTTTTTTCTTGTTTGCTTAAGGGTTCAACAAGTAATCTATTTAATGAGAACTGTACCAATCGGTAAAAAAATGAATCTTTTAATTTCACAACTACATTCAATTATCTGGATCAGTGTTTTAATTGGGGTTTATTGCAAGTCAATATTTTAATACCTCTGCGTCAAAGTAAGTGGTTCTACAAGACATTTCTTTTTATTAACTAGATGATCCTGTTAGGCAGTGCTCAGTCAGCTGGCCCAGAGGGAAAATAAAAAAAAAAATAAAAACAGGCAAGAAATGAGAAAATTCTGAAGGAAACTACAAATCAGCAGACTATGAGTGCTGCCATCCGACCCACACATTTAGTGCCAAACTCAGATTTAATGCTGTGGACTTTTCGTACTGCTACAACACAATGGTGAAGAGATGGTTTGTACAGTAAGGAAATTATCAAGATTTTTGTTCAGTTTTCGGGTAGCAAACAAACATGAAGTTGTTTTTAAAAAACTTAATAGTTCTTTTAGTTTCCAATATTTCCTAACTGATCAAACCAAATGGTCCACGCCTCTGATTATAATGCTTTCTTAACTTTAGTTATGTTGATGGTTGCATGAAAAATAAATGAGAAATGTTAAAAGACACATATTAATTTTTTTTTTCTTTTAACACCTGAATCATTCAGTTGGGGTCTATATTAAGTGAAACTGCAATTGGTCGGAATTTCTAGTTATTGTTACCCTACAAGCCTCAGAACAACTCGTTTTGGTACGATCTCTTTAAATGCTAATAAGGTGCTTCACCCCTAGTCCACTCCACCTCGTTCTGCCATTTTTGTAGATTGATAGCAGAACTACAAGTATCTGTAAGGACAGACATTTTTATTTGTACATCCATCCATTATATTTCTTCCTTTTAGAATCACAGGTGCCATTGTTGCCCATATCCAGCAGTCACCATGTGAGGGGCGGTGTACACCCTGGACAGGTCGCGAGTTCGTCACAGGGTCACACAGACAAACGAGACAAACAAGCATTCACTCTCTCACTCACTCCTAGGGACAATTTACAGTTACCAATACCACCATTCATGTTTTTGGTTTGTGGGAAGAAACCGTAGAAAACCCAGAAAAAAACCCACACCTGCATGGAGAGAACATGCAAACACTAAAGGTCCCCAGCCAAGATTCCATCTAGCAATCTTCTCTTCCTTATAAATAAACTAAACTGAATTATATTAAATTCAAAATACATTACAGAGAAAAAAGAGAAAACTGAACTGACTGAAAAAATGTGACCCAAACAGAAAATGAAAATGCCTATGAAGCACTGGGAGTTACATAATTTCCCTCTGGGATCAATAAAGTATTTTTGACTTTGACTTTGAGAGACTAACTGAACTTTTCTACACTCTTAGGGTCTCCAAGTACACAACAAAATGTACTTAAGGTCAAAAAAAATGGATTTTGGATGATATGTCCCCTTTAATACCCTTCATGATAGGAGTAAAAGTGGCCAAAGTTAAATTAACTGACAAACTTTTAGTGGTGATAATGACCAATAACAAATTTTGCCCACACACATAAAT